CCTGGGAGAGCGTGTGTATTGGGAGATGGGCTGGCCACTGCCTTTATGTGACTTTGGAGCCATTTTATGTGATGTCCCCTTGGTGAGTCGCTTTGCCCGAGGTGGGTCGTATACGGAGGTCCATGCTGCGTCGGCTGGGGGGTGGCCCTTAAACAGCCGCTACTATCTTACGCACATGCGTGTATATCATGGACATACAGCACGGACAAGGCAGCAGTCGAAAGCGCAGCCCATACTTGTGCACGGGGGCACACCAACCATGCGCAAGGCAAAATGTGCCCCCTGAAATGTTTCCCGAACTGCACGTCTGCCTTTTACGCAGAAGCGGAAAGTAGTGTGGTGGACAGTCAACAGTGCTGTCCGATTTCTTTGTTCAACGCTCGTTGCTTCAATGTTAGGCGGCTTCACAGGCAGCGCCTTTCGCTTCGTTGATCTGAAGACCCTTGACCGACTTCCACCCGCGCACACGCGCGTCCAGGTTGTCGCGGCTGCCTAAGGGCAACTTGAATTCGCCACCCCCTCGACCGACGCAGCCTTGGCCACTGTATACGAGACCCCCGCGCGTAAGGCAACAGACCAATCGCAGCCCACTTGAGTTTGCTTCACAATCATGTAAAAACAGCTGTCACCGCTCTCACACATTCTCAGGTCTGGATAGACGCATTCCACGCTTGCCCTGACTTTGCTGGTGGCCATTGCTGTCTGAGAAAGCAACTCAAGCTCCTGCGCACGATAAAACCCTCATTCTGGTGCTTTCTGCTTCTCTAAAAATCTGGGGTTCGATCTGATGATTGTCGGTATCTGAGTACAAACACTATTTAGACCCTTTGCAGTTGATCCATGGAGAAAACGCCAGATGCAGCTTTGACAACAGTCTATCTCAGCTATACTCCAGGCTACCTCTAAGGAGAATGGCAGAATTCCTGGCAAGGCAACCAAAGCCATCCGATATCTTTTCGGGGTGTACATTGACGATCATCCTCATGCAATCCGTCGGCCACCAACTTTCATTCAGCGATCGACCTATCGGTGGTGTTCTCCGTCCAATTGCAACTTAATTACGAGTACTTCGTTTATTCACATGTAATCTATTCTATTTATATAGTTAGTATTAATCACATCAGCCATTAATCATGTCCTTAACCATAAAAAGTCTTTCTTGGTTCTGTTCATTTCGAGATTGCAAATCTGGATGACACTTTTAGTCGGGTAAGTAACCCTTCTCAGAAGCTCCCGGTGTGGGGAGACCAGACTGAAGGTTTCGCAGTTCGGTGTTTGTGGGAGGTCTGATTTTTGCAGTTACTACGTCACATTTTTACGATTCTGGCCCCTGGTGAGAAGTTCCGAGAAGGCGGTCGTACACACAGAACGATGGTAATTAAACAGCGTATCCAGTACGCTACTGTTGAACCCAAATTGTAGCAAACACGTAAACGAACCACGTTCAAGACACGACTGATTTGTTGCGTTTTACCAGTTTCCAACAGTTGAACAGGTGTGACTTTCTCAGTAGAGTTGCACGTTAAACCTGGGCATATTATTTCTGTACTTTTCCCGTCCACAATCTGCAGGCCACGTGTACTAATTATCGGCCACATCGAACGCCAATTTGAACTAACAGCTGTGTGGATCGATAATCCGTCTGACAGTGGGCGCTTAATTGTCTGTCTGAGACAGACATAGTGCTTACTCGTTTTGCAGACAGTCCCTCTTCGACCTATGTGACCTACGATTCCTCATCATGACGAAACAGCTCCTAGAATCAGCTCCAACAACCGAAGAGGAGATTCAGCCACTGTCAGAGATTATGTGTAATTGCGAACTCTGCTATGCTCGTCTTTGTGTTTCTGCGAAACAAACGGTGGAGGATGAACAGGCCTATGATCCATGCCTTGTTGATAATTTTAATTTGCCACTCCAATCGAAATCGAGTATCTCCTGTATGCCCTTTCCATGTGCATTTGCTGGCTGTCCCACCAGTAGAGACATGTGTGTGCCGAAGAGCTTCCAGTTGACCCGCCTACCATATAATGTGGCAGGAATAGACAATTTTCTGCACGTACATCCACCACCCGAATGGCTACAACGCTACAAGATGGCGAGTCACGCGGCCTGTGAGGGAGACGTGTGGATGACGGCAATGTCCCCGAGTCCACAACTATATCTGTCTAAGGATTCTGTCCTGCATCTCCGAATTTCTGCCTATGTTGCTTTAGAACGCTCCGGAACAGCGTTTCGTTTGATTAACTACCGAAATAACTCGGCTCTCGCGCTGAGCGAAAATGGAGAATATGGGTTCGCATATCACTACAACTGCCGGGGACTGATCAACATGCACCATGAGAAACTGTCAATCACCTTTGACAAAGACAGACAGATCCTCCTTCGGACTGAAAAGCCCAGTTTTGTGAAGAAGGAGAATGAATATTATAGGCTGACGTCACACCACTGGACCCAGTGTCGACCAGTTCTCATGGACTTCTTCGACCGCGACAAGACACCGGAAATTCTGAAAAAGTCGGGACCGGACAAGGCCATCGATGAGGCCAAGCTAACGGATCTCATAAATTCCTCAGTCATGCAAAAGGATGCTACTGGTTTAACAAGTAAGCTTCTCTGATTTTCAGAAACAGTAAGATCCTCAGCTATTGCTTAGTTTATCTAGGGGATGCCAGAATCGAGACGCGATTAAACGGGGATGTTACACTCTCATGGATGTACGGGGAACAGATAAACTCCTTGGTGGTGTCTCCCCTCACGGGAGGCGTAAGCCTGTCGGCAAGAAACCTTGAGATCATCGCCACAGCGAAGAATGACATCTACATCGCGTTTGCAGACTTCTTTGTCCACACGAGGTAAGAACAGCTCGGTGTAATCATTCCAGTTTAAAAAAAATACTCAAGGAAATGTGCACGACGATGCAGATTTTAGATCATAGGTCGGGAACCTTTCTGACTCAGAGATCCAAGAAAGAAAATATTTGGAAATTCATTTCAGTGAGAGCCATATCATATATTTTAAGATTGAATTCAATTAAATTTGAGTATAATAAGCCTGTGGATTTATTCTTTTAAATACTGTTGTTATAATATTCACTGTTAACGCACTTCATTGGAGGAACAGAAATCACAAAATCTAAAGTTGCAAATTCAATTTTGACCTGAGAGAGCCAGATGCAATCATCAAAAGAGCTATAGTTCCCGACCCCTGTTTTAGATGCTTAAACCAAACAGGGTTAGAGGAAAGAAGTAGGATGATAGTGACATAAGGGAAGTTAATTAAGATTACAAAGCAAAACTGAATTTACTTATAATTGCACTTCGTGAATTTTTTCTTTGTTTTCTTACCACCATAATGTTTTCCAATTTTTTGGTGCTCACTTCCGTTTCCGAGATTTGGGATCCTATCTAACCATGCGCGATGGCCGGCGTGTTCTTCTGAAAAAGAGCATCGCATATGATCAAAATTACTTCAAAGGGAGCACTGTATATCACAGGTTACGGTTTATTTGGTATTTTGTCTCAAGAAGTTCAGCATGTCAAATATTTCACTCGTTATTTCCTTTATCTAAATAGCGGTAACGATCTCTTTAAGATGTGTATATAAATACGGCGCCACGGCAAGTGAGGTTGTTCAGCTGGGCTTCGTACTCTCTATTTACTTTGATCGATGGTCTCGTTTATTTCTGGTCATATGAAAGCGATTCGCCAAATTTACACTGAACAGAACTGACAGGAAAACTAAAGGAAACCGCATATGTACCTATACGCTGCCACAGAACAGTACTTAAATGACACTAAGAATGAAAAGTTGAAGAGTTTAATCAAGCAGTTGTGCGAGGCGGAACGACAAACACGTTAGGAGAGGTGAAATCTTCTGGCACCTTTGTATAAAACTACATGGTCTGACTATTTAGAGAGATTGCCCTCTATGGTTCAGATATCGTGCTTCTAGCTCACCGTTCCAGTGAAAAGTTTTTGTAGCAAGAGGGGTTCATTGGAGTGGAAGAAAAAAAGAATATCGAGGTGTGGGAGAGTAAAAAAACGTCAGAACGAGAGGAGAGAACCAGAGTCCAGAAACGCAGATCACAGTCAAATCGGAAGCGCCCGTCATCCAATCAAGCGTCGTCCTCGGTCGCTTCGTTCGCGATCGGTCCCTACTACAATAACTATTACGATTTCTGCGAGTTCTTGGGTCACGCCAGACCTCAGGCCGTGAAGATGCATAACCCGAACCTGGTTCAGTTAGTAACTAGGCCACCGTCCTGCCATGAACTCGTGGCTTGTCAATTGAGGTCGAATTTGAGAAGAAGATGACTCGATCGCTGGGACAGTACATTTATTCGCCTGACGTTTCGACATCCGTCGCGGATTCATCATCAGGGACATTAGCAGAAAACAGTAGCAGTAGCCCGTTTCTGATACTGTTTTTCGCTAATGTCTCTGATGATGAATCCGCGACGGATGGCGAAACGTCAGGTGAATAAAAGTATTGTCCCAGCGATCGCATCGTCTCCTTATCAATTACTTCCCGGGACTCGCATGTTCGCTTGCAATGAGATCGAAATTGCTCATAGTGACAAAGTAGCATTCACACATTTATCCAGATGACACCGCGGAATAAAATCTTTCCTTATACTGGAAGAACCACGACCTAAAGCCCTAACATACAGTCAGATAGCAGTGGATAATCAATGGTCAATAGGCATCACCGTAGATCATTTTGCCCACTTGCTACTGTTTATCGGCAGCATTAAATCCCTAGACCTCGAAAACCTAAGGCACTAAGGCCACTTTAACCTTGAACGGCAAAAAATGTGCTTCTAGGACAGTACCGGTAATTAGCTCATTGAGTGATCCTTACAAATGCGAAAATTCCCCTTTTTTCAGAAGTCAACAAATGACCGTGAGTAGCGGGGCCATTTCTGGTCGTGGGAGCTACTCAAAGAGTCATCCCTGCCTTCTGAAGCTGACAAGCACCACACCAGAGAACCAAATGTCCGATATTCGCCAGTTTTGTTCCTATATGTATAATGAACACCACGGCCACCAGGGGACCAACACAGCCGCAGCTGCGTCTGGTGGAGCTCACCGTCACGGAGGCGCTCACACTGGAGGGACAGCT